ATACAAGTATCAATACGCGTACTGAGAGCGCGGGGTAAAACCGGGGGGACCCCGAATTTTACTACAACAGCAACTAGTAGATTTATAGTTCAACCATGGATGCACCTGTGCTACAACAGCACTCACCACTGGACACTTGCATTGACTAATCCACGAATAACTTCCACGAAAATCCCCTAACAATGTGATGATGAAAATTTAAGCTCATTTGGCTCATAAGAAGGCCAATGCCAAAGAGACGACTCGTCAACGGAATTGCTCTAAAGTTGAAATGGAGACAAAGTCGAACTTTCGGACACGAGAACAACGCCTTCGCTACCGTGTGAGATGAAACTAAATGGAACTTTCTTCAAACTTTGTCTCGTTGAAAATTAAATTAAGACCCTTGAGTGTTCAACAGTTCAACAAAGTAATTGCTCATCGTGGCTTAATGAACGTAAAAAAAGATTGACTGCTTCTAACTTCGGGACGGTGTGCAAATTGAGACAAACGATAAGCAAGGATTTGGCGGCCTACAGAATATAGTGAATGGCTTGAGTGGTTCACTCACTTCACTGCCTGCCTTAGGCATCGCAGTGAAAAGATACGAAATATTTAAATAAATATATCATATCATAATGTTTTATGTTTATTTCTCTGAGGTCGCGCTGTTAATAGCCTAGAGTTTGCTGGTAGTAGTCAAAGCTCATTGATGGCATGGAGGGCGCAGCCGTAGGCCACAAATTTTAGTCTTAAACAAGCCCTGGAGCCAACGCCCAGCTTCATCATGCCACTCAGCCTCAGAGCCAGAAGCCGCATGCTACGCTTGAACTCCGTAATCCAGACAAGCGACACACTGCCGAAAGATAATAGCGCCGTAGGTCTTCAGCCAATGCTTAAGCATGCTCGCTCATTAGCAGGCTGTTCCTCATCCGGCTGTACCTACTCCGGCCTAACTTCTTATGGCCTAACCTATTCACGCTGTCCTGTTCACAACCTTCCTGCAGCCAATGACTAGTTCTACCAGCACACATGGACCGCATTTCTAACTTCCTGCAGCTAATGAGGTTAGGTCCGCTCAGGTTTGTTTTGGGTGGAGAAAGGTTGCAACTTGTGTAGGTTAGGCCTGAAGAGGTTAGGCCAGAGGAGGTTGGGCCAGATGTTGTATGGCAATGCTTACCTTTGGCAAGCTTAATTTGTGGCTGTGGACATCCGGCGCCATGGCTTTGAGCACTTGACTTCAAAGGCTGTTATACCCTCTAGCATTCTTACCTATGGAAATGAATATGAACTAAGTGTAAAGTTTGGCAAAGCTGGCCTCCGGCATGCGACCCGATGGCGTGTGCGCTAGTGCAAGTGATGTACCGTAGTGTGGTGCAGCTCGTTACAGGCCTGCGCTCGCATGACATTACTCTGGCACCACGCCGGCCAGACGTTGGATTAGATAGTCAACCCTCAAGATTGACGGAAGCAAACTCGGGTAAGCTCGCTCAGGAATCCGGGCGGTTCTCAATCAGAGCCTTAAGATTCTGATTGAGAAACGCGAGGCTTCCAACAGGCTCGGCTCTTCCATATGAGCTTCTTCTCAGATTAGGTTGAACTTTACTCCACTCGTAAATGAGATGGCGAAATGAATTTTTCCATGCTCTCCCAGCTAATTATTTAAAAACGGTGGAGAGTAACAAAAAGTTTGTAATCCTTGTATTAAGAGACTTATGATGAAAGGAAAATTCAAGAAACTTTGAATATTAATGATCATCAAGTCTGCGACGTTTACACATTTTTCGAGATGTCAACGGATTTTATTTATTATACTCCATTGAATGGTAAACTCAGCATTTCTTGATCATCCTCCTTGTTGTAGATATTATCTATAAAAATTAGTTATGAACAAGCATATAGATACGTGGAGGGAAAAGCCGTATATCAACTAATTCGATGAACTCTTTGTGGAAGGTATGAGGGGGAAACAGGACTAGTCCAATTAGTTATAGCCTACTACTGGCCTTTCCTCGGCCACTTGGAAACCGCCGGCTTCTGCAAAAGGGGCTGGCTAGGATATCATATTACAAAGACTAAAAGCTCAAGGTTAGCGAATAGCTGAGTTTAGGGTAGATCGAGTATTTCAGACGATGGTCGCCAATACCCCGCTCTCAGACTTCGCCGCCCTCTGACTACGAGCCTTAATTCTGATCAGTCGCGGGCTGCGGCCCTACGAAGGATGCCTCGCGCATCGTGGGCGGCACCGAAGCAGTACCTCACTCCTTCCCCTGGCAGGTTGCTCTCTTCATCGACGACATATACTTCTGCGGTGGCTCGCTGATCAGCGACGAGTGGGTGCTCACAGCCGGTCACTGCTTGCATGAGTGAGTGTGTCAGTCTTGTTCTAACATGATCGGTAATTTGATTTATTATATATTTAATTAATTTATTGCTATCGATATTATATTTTAATACTGGCTCTCAATTTATTGTCATGTATAGAGTATACTTGACAAAACATAAATTTCACCGGTTATATCCTGAATCCGTTTTTATTTCAAATCATATAATATTATGCAGGAGAGGCTTTATAATGGTTAAAGAATCGATAAATCAAAGCCATTAAATTGGAGATATGTCCCTAAATTCCTGATCTCCTTATCGGGAACGCTGGGAAGCCAAATAAACTTTCAATTGCCTTCGTAAATCAAAATATGAGTTGGAAAATTCGCTGAAGAATGATTTTTTAACTGGTTTGAAATAAATAGGATAGAAATTACTCTCGATTCTTTACAGACTACAGTTATGAGTGATTAATGAACGTAGGACAAACTAGAGCAATTTTGAGCAACATTGTAAAGATTGGTCGTATAAGCATTATGAACTCAATTGTTCATTGGAACATAACCGACAAAATCTCAACACGTAATATTATGAACTGTGCAGGGCCCAATCGGTTGTAGTGGTTGCAGGCGCTCACAACATCCGAGAAGCCGAACCGTCTCAGGTGGGCATTTTCCTCTCATGAAAACTTGTACCCAATCTATTTGAACAAAATCAGATAACAACGACTCTTTATAACTCGTATCGTTTATTTTAAGTGTATGATTAAAAATTAAATATTATATCATTTATTCCAGATGTTCCACCGTAAACGTTTAGTAACAGGGTCATTAATGCTCTAGAGTTCATTGCTGTTTAGAACCTGAGTCCTTCCAGTTAAGCAACATAATTTTCTTAAATCTGACATTACTGATCCTGCATTCATAATTTTATATTTAAATTTTGTTGAATATCGATATCAAGTTTCGATCCAAAATTAGAAGGCAATGAATTCGTTTCCTCGTTTGCAACAGTAAATATTCTTATATTTAAATTTTAAAAAATATAAGTACAATTTTTTACGCGTGCTTACTCCAAAGAACATTAAATAAACAAACGAAACATCTAGGAAACTCCTCACATTTTTTCCCCCAATTCTAGATTTGGAAACTGTGTGGAAGGAACAACGCTTAATTAATAACTACTTAAATTCATGTATGGCATCTTAAGTAAAAGTTTACTATGCACTTTGAGAATGAATGCAAAAATCCGAAAATTTTCATAAAACTCATGGAGATTCTTTGTGCAGGTAACAATGACATCGACGAACCTGAAGGTGCACGAGGATTATGGCCCCGTTTTTTTGAGGAACGATATCGCTATTCTCAAACTGCCCAGCCCAATTACCTTTAATGGTAAAGACGATTCAATTTCCAACTTTTGACTAGGCTGATCCGAATTTATTAATTTATCAATTAACAGTGAGAAAGGGTTAGGCCAAATATAAATAAGGCTTTGTGTCTTACTTTGAGAAGAAATGTGCTGAAGGTAAATTTATGAGCTTCTTCAGCAGCACATGTTCCAATCTACAATTCTTCATAATTATTTTTCCTGGACAATTTTTTCAGTAATCATTTTATTTTTGCAGAGTTCATTGCCCCCGTGTGCTTGCCTACGAGGAGTGACGCTATCCTGCCAGCGGGCACCAGCGTTACGGCCTCCGGCTGGGGGAGGATCCAAGACGGTGGGTGTGGCGAACTGATTTTAGATAAGAAAACTATTCATAAATAGTTATTTAAAGTCAATTGATGTTTTATTAACTCTGCAAAATTATATCGCGTTTATTTTTACTTATAGATCGATATAAGTAGCGCTGAATGATAATTCGCTTTCTTATCTTCCCGCGCATCTGTTGACATTTCAAAAACCATCATACAAAATGAAACTTCACGTCCATTTATTCGATTTCATCTTGGGCAAATTCTATTAGAATATCCTTGGAGATCGAATTTTTATTTTTATGGAGGTGAGATTGATACCTTTTGCTTCTGAATATAACACAACATAACATAGTGATGTCGGCGCTGAAGAGTAGGCCTGATGTGGCTTGTCGCCGATTCTTTTACTTTTCGTGACCTGTTCATAGAAGATCTAAAATCGTGTCATTTGACCGGTTCTTTTCAGGGCTGACGGTAGTTTGAAATAGTTACTAGACTTCCACCGGGTTCGATATGGTACTGGGCATTTTAAGTCTGAAAATATATTTTTCCATAGCTTTATCTAGTGTGTTCTTGAACGCGTTCAAGCTCGGAGCGCCAACGATGTAATCGGGGAGGCTGTTCTACTTGTCGGTGATTCGAAGCGAGAAGAAATGTCGCATAGATAAGTGGCAGCGCAGTTTTTTTAGTTTATAGCCGTGGCCCCTGGTGTTGGTTCTTGTTTCAAATTCTAGTAACCCTTCAGGGACCTTGTATTAGTTGTATAGACCATGAGTATACTTGTATACTTCAATGAGGTCCCCACGCAGACGTCGATAACTGAGGCTTGGAAGCTTCAAGGACTTGCCCTTCAAGCCTGGAATTATCCTTGTTGCACGTCTTTGAACATTCTCTATTAAATTTCTGTCCTTTTCGAATCTCGGTGACCACACAACTTTTCCAAACTCTAGACTCGGGCGTACGACGGCAACAAACAACTGCTTCATCGTTTCTGCATCTAGGAACTCGTATGAGCGTCTGATTAGTCCAAGAAGTTTGTTGGATGTATTAGCTTGCGTTTCAACGTGCTTTAAAAATTTCAGCTCCTTGTCGACATAAACTCCGCGATCTTCTTCCACACTAGACTTTTCAATCATTACTCTCTCGTTGCAACCATGTCTTCTCATACTGTAATCTTGCTGTTCTTTGCCGTATTTCCCGCGCTGCAGCGATGTCTCACGGCTGGTCTAACCGTAGAATTTATGATGTGACCGTACTTCGGAATAGTGATGTTCGTCTTCATAGTCGATGATATTACTACAAGCTCGTTGCCGTACTGCGGTTGAAGACTTGGTGTAGAGCTCGAAAATTAAATCTTCTGATGACGTGCGTTTTAAACGTTGTACAACTCGCGGCCCTCTCGCATTGTCTCACGGCTGAGTCGCAGCCGTAGTGTTGATGTTGATTTTCTTGACGTGCTCACCGGACTCTTGGCTGCTTCGATAAGTCCAGGTTTCTCGCGACCGTCAATGTTCGAAAATTTTAACACCGCCGGCCTCACGGCCGCGGCCGTTACGTCCGCTGACTGCAGACCGTGCTTGCGTGACGGTCACCTCTGTAGAACCGGCCCTTGGCGCCAATTTTAAGGCCCTTATATAGGCAGCAGTCGCGCACAGTTAAGCCTATACCCTCGCAGTGACGCCGCGACGGTTGTGAGTTCCACAAGGTCAGCCCCTTTGATACCCTCGCCATTTCAAACTATAAACAAACCCTCGGTCTCACGATCTCCAGAACAATATAGCACCTTATGCAGGCTTTACACAGTTTCACCCCAAATTCCTGTAGCCTTCTTAATACTTCACTCTTATATAGTCTCTAACTTCCAATAACTTTCTTAACTCAAGTAATTAATTAATTCACCATCAAACCACGTTCTATACAGCATAATATAATTTGAAGTCAGAATTACCGACGCTCTAATCATGCAAGGCGTAATTTCTTCTCCCTCAAAATTCAAATAACGTAACTCGCTTGAGCTTAAAAGACTTTATACAAATATTTAGGACTTCTAGGCTTTTCATCACGTTCTTTTTTTTAAGTTTTCATTCGAGTAAATTTTATTGCTATTCAAAAAATTTTTTTATAATTCGTTTGGAATTCACAATTAGAAGCAGATGAAACAAACGACACAACTGTAAATTAATTTGTATTAAACCGCCTCTAGGTTAAATGTGTGTGCTATATTGCCAGCAAATGAATATACACCCGAGTAAAATTTTCACATTTCGGTAAATTAATACATATTCATTCTATTCTGTTTCTGTGAATTCGCAGATGCAGTGAACGTCAGTGACGTGCTGAACCAGTCTACCAACGACGTCATCACCGACGATGAATGCGAGGTCTACTACGGCGCTAATACCATCAACGGTGGTGTTGTCTGCACCGACACTACCGGCGGTCACGGCACTTGCTACGTTAGTGCTTGAATGATGAACTTCATTGTTGTGCCATCAATGCCTCATAAGTCGTCACTCAGCAGCTCCTGCACTCACTTCACCGCTCGCTAGTAACAACCGTATAATACCAGTCGTAATTAAGATTTTTATGATTCAATTGCCACAAAATAACTAGAAAGTTTTTCTTTATTGCGCGCGAAAGTTGTGACTCCGTTTTGTTTAAAAAATAGATGAATTCTTTTGAAGACCGGCGATTTAAGTGCAGTGGTGAAGATACCGTCAATGCGGTGGCATTGACGGTATTTTACCTACTGTACGAAATCTGGATATAAATTTTATGAATATCGCCGTACTGTATCCAGAAATGTTAGGAGCAGGCAAAGCAAAGCTATCATCTTGATTGTATGATTAGAAAAAATAACAGGAAATATTTAAAAAAAAGTTCTGGATCAACAAACCACGGCGAATTATTTACTGAATTCAGTTACTTGATCAAAAAACTTACAAATAATTTGGATCGCACAAATATCTTCAAATAATTCACACGGATTCCTTTTTCGTATACCCGTACGCACTAGTATTAAAATATTTACATATATGAGTATTTATGATTCACTGACGAACTTTCTAGAAATTCGGCGCAAATCGAATGCTAAAATTTTTCACAATTTTTGAGTCGGGTGATTGGAATCTCGATAGGGATTACATGAGTACATTTCCTTCAAACCCATTGTTCCCATGGAGCATTCTCTATTTCATATCAATTGAATTGCGTTCCCCCGTAGGGTGATTCTGGCGGACCTCTGAACTACCGCACCGGAGGCGTGACGGTGACCCGAGGCGTGACATCGTTCGTGTCCGACGGAGGATGCGCAGGAGGTCTCCCTGACGGCTTCACGCGTGTTCTTTACCAGCTCGACTGGATCGAAACCAACACCGGCATTATCATCGACAATTAAACACAATTGTCGCTCTAATAAAGCGTAAAAATTTACAACGGTTTTGTGGTCACTTTCTTAAACACATGGATTATTTTCATTAAGAAAAAGGGTACTATAGCTCAAACAAGACTAACTAACCATCTTTAACGCTTAACTTGAACGCTTCATCTCTTATCAAAGAGAAACATCGAAGGCGGAAATTTTCTATTTTGCTAGTGAAATTCTAATCGTCATGATCAAGACAATCCGCCTTTCGTTTATTAAAGGCGCCGAGTGTCTTGAATTGCTCAGTATTGATACAAAAATCGCATAGCCCGCACAGCTGAATGAGGGGGGCGCGATAGTAAGTTACCAGTTCTACAACTCCTGCCCTTATGTTCTGCGACCCTAGAATAAAGATTGCGAGACGTCATCCCGACGTACGCAGATGCACATCGTGCACAACTATATTCATAAACTAGGGACGCTCGCATATGCATATGGAGAGTATCTTTGTACCTAAAAATTAAATTAAATTCAGCGGAATTTTTTTGATGTGCTAGTTGTCTAAGAATGCTAACGAAATTCATTTCAAAGCGAAAGACATCTCTGCGAGTAATCAATGTTTCATCATGCATTCCATATATCAAATTATTGATAAATAATGCAATCCATAATTGACTTTATATGCTATTCCAAATGAAGCTTATTCTCGCTCAAGAGAGTAGAGAAAAAATGCGTGCCAAATTTTTACATGACTAACTGATCATGTACATTATCTAAATTCAAGTTAATTTAGGTATATCTCAGCGTATCAAGATTTTAGTTCGTTCCGAATGGAGAAAAATTATGAGAAATGCCATTCTTTTTTTTCGTTTGATCGGAGATGAAAGCTGAAAACTTCGGTATTCTGTTGCAAGACATTAATATTGCTTTGCATTTTTTTGGTAGGAAATTTTAATGCGTCGAGGAGATGAAAGAAGATAAAATTCTATGGCATAAGGAAGTTCATTGAATAAACGCGGATGGCAAGATTCAATATTTAGTAGCCACTTGGCCTTTCATAATTTGGTTGCTTCTATCGCGTCCCCAGAAGAATGAGTGCACAGAAGCAATGAATTTTAGTGTAAGATGACAAAGACTAGTATAGATCAAATCTCTCCCTAGGAGATTAATGCCCAGGTATCACGACACCGTACAACTGCTCGCTGCAATAATTGGCTCCATATTGATACCTTAGAACAACGAATAGAAGCTTCTATATGTTCATCTATGCTCAACCAAACTAATATGGCGCATATCAGAATTAGGAAGCTCAGCTTCTGTACTAAGCTTACGCCTTTAAGCAGACAAAAATTTCAATTCCAGCAACTCATCGTGTCAATTTTGCCGCATTGTTTGTGGAATATTCTCGACTCGCTGCATCGAAAAAAGATTTAATTAAGATGAGAAATTTGCTGTTCCTTCAGTTGTATTCTATTTTGAAGAGAAAAACAAATTGATTATCTCGGGAGCTGGCCTTTGTTCTTCATTGTCTGCGTAACTCAGACGCTATTTAAATGTATCTTTGAGGATCTTTATGAAATATTTTATGAACACTCGTATATAAATTGAAAATTTTCTGTAATAATCCAAGACGTTTTACCCAAGCTTTTATCTTGCAAGTGTTTTTTCGTTGCTTGGTAAATAATAAATGAATGATTGTTGCAAACACAATTTTGTTTGCTTGGTAAATGATATTTGTTAAGAATTTTTTATAGAGATTGTTCAAAGTTTTATCTTCGCAAATCAAAAATTCGATCAAAAATACAGTTAAGAACAATAATTGTGCCGCCGTTTAAGATTGAGCGTTGTTGATGGACAATTTGAACCATTAGCCTCGGTTCGTTTCCTTAATCCATAGAATAAAAAACAAATTCATGAAGAGCCTACAAAATTTTAAGGGGCCTTGCAAAATGTTACCCGCGTACGAATTTTCCAGAGAGATTTAACCTACCAGCTTGCCAAGTTCGATCAAGATCTACTTACCTTAAGCTATCGTGAAGAACAAGGCTTGTAAGGAGACTTCAGCGTTAAAATAGAGCCACAAGATAACTGCTATGCAAAAGATCCGCATAAGACCGTTTAATTTAGGTTCATACGTAAAAGATAGGAGTTTGCGACGCCTCGGAGATATGATACGAGTCATGGGAACATTAACGAGAAGAATTGCACAAGAGGCGACCGGCGGAGAAAAATTGTTGTTTTCGGTTTTATGTATGGAAGCTTTATGATTAAAGTGGCGCGGCGACGGAACGTGAAGGTGAGACTTATCAAATGAAATTCAACCAAAAATGTATAAGGAAAAACTTAAATCGATGTAAAATTTTAATATAAAGTGTAGGAATGTTATTTGCCACATTACCGATTTACTTCATTCTGATTTTTCATTCGAACGTATTGTACACGTCCCAAATATTTGGAAACAGACAGTCACTGACATGTTTTGGTAATTGCGTTCAGAGTTATTTTAAAAAAGTCAGAGTTAGAGAGATCTGCTGATATTTACAACATTTCTAGATATTAAACAGTGAAAATACTACGATCAATTTTAATTCCATTGAATTTTTTTTCAGTACGAAGAAAGCACTTGCATTAGAAACTCGGCCAAACTAAATTGTACCGTATATAAGTAAAATAAAAAATAACAATTAGTTTGAAATCAGTTGCAGACAATTGCGCCTTGAATGCTAATTAGCATTTCCAATTTCTGAGATTCAGCTAGATTTTTTTACACTAGAGGTAAAAAGCTGCTCGTTGACTGCATCCGGTTCCAATTAGATGCTAATGACGCTTCTAGTTTCAATAATGTCATTCTTCACAGTCATTAATTATTAATTAACAAACAATTATGACGCCACTTGTTTCTCAGGGATTATTAAAGCCAGTCATACAAATAATATCGCGACGCTGCTATTTCCTATGTCAACAATAAACTCAAAAATGACTTTGAGTGCAAAACAGTGAAGAATTATTGTGTCTCAATAATAATTCCAGTGAGTTCTGCAACCGAAGATAAAGACTTTACCAGTCTCTGAACAGCCATGCGAGAAGTGCTAATGCAGTCATCAATAATCATTTATCCAAAGAGCCGCAGCGCATGATAAAGAATATCACCTACTTTATTCCGTTTAAACTGTTAGTAATTGCACTTTTTTCATGTTAATTCCAACCTCTTTATAATATATGCTATTTATTTCGAAATTTATTCGATACGCGACTTTAGTTCTGTTACCTCGATCTGTGCATTGCAAGCATCGGAAATTCATTGCATTGGGAATTCAACTGTCATTGAAGCGGAACATAATTTTAAGCGGTTAGAAGCTTATCAGTATTAAGCTCTTCTTGCGGAATAATTCATGGCCTGTATTGGAAATCCCAATTTTTCACTGCTCAGTGTAAAGTCAAGTTGTACATAATCCTACCGTAATGAAATTTACTGCGTGGCTTTCGAACGTTTTTTGTACAGAAGAACTGTAAATAATTGTTGAATGTTGAATTACTATAACTAAATTTAATGTTACTGTATTTCAACATTCCTCAGGAGATTTATTATTGAAGAGACCAATGCTAAACTGCCCAATTATTGTCGTAAGAACAGATATTTTTACGGTAATAAATTAGAAACATTATTAGCGAAAGTATTACTGCAGCAAAACACATCATCCAGCATTGTAGGCGCTAGTGTTGTTCATCCTTGTCAGTGTAGAACAAGAGCAAATCCTATCCTTGAATTGCTTCTAGTCTTTTCACAGCTTTCGGACCACGGAAGTTTTGATTAACTCATAAAATAGCATCAAAGAGGCCGTTAAAATAGACGCATCGGATGAATACGCAAAAGCCATGTCAGATAACACGAGCACAACTAAACCCTCAGAAAAAATAGGTCAAACTATCTAAATTATTTACACACTTTCTGCATGTTGCACTGGTACCTTCTTGTGTCGTGAAAAAAAACGGGTAAGGTGAGTCCACTCATCAGCAAGAAGTACATCGCTATTTGGACAAAATCTTTAAATTTTTCTGGGTGAGAGACTTGCTATTCAGTTGTCAGGGATATGAAGCTGCGTTCCTTGCTTATCCACATGAGTAGTCAAGGCCCGTCAATATCCCCAGCTTGGTCAATTACTCACGGGAACACATGAATATAAGCACATACAGCGAGGCTTCATGGAGAATTCGTCGCTCGCCAAAATTGAGTAATGGAGCAATCTTGCTGCTCCCTTCAACGTCCGCTTGGAGCTCGGCAGATTACCGCAGACGAGGAATTTTCTTCGCGGATAATTTGCAGGTTAAACCTACATTGATTTAATGGATGATCTTAAAGACTCGTAAATCTCTTTACGGCAAATTTTTCATCGTAAAAAAAATTTTCGATCGTGATTTTCAAACTAAATTCTTTAAATTTATGAAACAATCATATTGCAAAAAAACACTCGTTTGAGATTTTTAGATGAAATGCTTACTTATAAAATAAATTCAAAGTTTGCTCTGCATAACATGATTACAATTAGTTCTATTTCTTCATCTGTCCTCTGTTATGCGATGCCTCATAATTCCACCCCTGAAATAATATATTCTTAATGCTCAAACGTTCGGTACTTTCACTTGTCGATCTCGTTTCTTTCGCGTGTGTTTGCATGGAGCTTTTCGATTTATATTTTTTCCTCTAATCTATTATCTGTTTTTTATGTAATGTTGTTCAATATAGAAAAAGAAGCACTCGTCTTATGAACCACTAAAGGTATTCAGCGTGACGAAGTTATATACATTATGAACCACTGCGGCCAATTTAATCAAGCTTTGTCTACTCTCGGGATTTTAGTGAGTCTTCCACTACTGTTTGCTATATTTACTTTTTATTTCCTACATACATTTAGGTCATTTTTGATAATATATGTATTGTATTTCTCATTTAAATAGGTAGAAGGTTGCTACTATATAGGTGTTACGGACTTACGGTGATATCCTAGCTAATCGTTCCTCAGCACGCGCTGCCGAGCGCAACACGCACAACTTTCTGA